ACTGTAAAAAAATGGCTCATTAGATCAACCTAAAAAAGTACTTCTTGTAGTAACAAGCAATTGAACTTTTTTTTATTCAATTCAAAAAATTACATTGATTGAAAGAATCGTTCATTCAATATATTTGAATATATTTGATTCCAATATTTGAAGTTGAACAAAACTAGTTAATTTAATTAGTTAATTTCTTTCAGTGCAGTTTCTCTGCCCTCTCCTTAATATTTATTGTAATGTCAGTGCTTTGTTTCATGTCTCTTGATATTGAATTCATTACAGTCTTTTGAAATATGAGGCACACGCATTTGCTGTGGCTCTCAATGAAAAAGCATTTCAAATTCCATCTTGCCAAAGTCGTTGATTCTTAGTGTGAAGTTTGTGATTTATGTCTGTAGTCTTGATGTCATTCAGTGAAATAAGCTGTAGCTTTAGTCTGAAAAAAAAGGCTCTAAAACTTCATTAGCACAGTGCGGTGCATTCCACCAACTTTACAGTGCTGCTGCCACCATCAGGTGAAAGGAAAAACTGCAGGGTACTGGCTGGTGGGCCGCTTATAACTCACTCTTGATTAGAAGCATCGGGCCTAGTAAAATCCCTGTGCAGGCCTCATTTGGCCCTGGGGCCAGACTTTGGCCACTCCAGTCAATGATGTCCAGTCAAATGATGTTGTGTTGATTTTCTAAGTGAAAGTAAGTTAAAACAACCTCTACAGAGACACACACTTCTGCACATTTTAATACACAATTACTGTTTATTTGCTGAATTTAACATATGAGGGAAAATATATATATATATATATATATACATATATATATATATATATGTATATATATATATATGGCCAGTTCAAAAGTTATTTGTACAGGGATTAAATGACAAATGCTCCATTGTGCATTTTTGCATAGTTATGGGTTTTGTGGAGGTTTTTAGGCCTTTTTTCCCAATTTTCCAGATGCCTGCATTGCACTAGCATTGAGTGATGAGGGGAGTGTGGGAGGGGTATCCTACCCACCCAGAGAGAGCAGGGCCAAAATACTACAGATATATTATTATGGAATATATATTATATGGTATTATGTTATTATGATCATTTTTATTTAAGTTGATGTTATTATTATTTTTTATAATTATCTTATTTTAAAAATTAGCTTTTTTGTAAGGAACTCAGTTTGAGCTGAATAATAGGCATGGTGTAAAAGAGGATTAACTTTCTAACACTTTTTCCTTTTTACTTTCTAACATTTTCTAACAAACTTTTTATCAACTGTTTTTGTGTTTTGGATCTTGAGGATGTTTGTTGATGGCTGATATTCTTGATATCATACAGTGTCCTTTCCTGTCCTCCAGGCCTATATTCATGTATTCTGCTGAGCATTTTTTAAAATATTTGCCATATTTGTCTCAGTGGTTCTATCAAGCGTAAAAAGGTTTTTACATTTGAATGTGTTGAATAATGTGTCTTTTTTTATATATATGAAGTGAAATCTCACTAGTGAAACAAATGTCAGTAGTTTGTTTTGATCCTGACCATCCCTATTTTGTCTATTTTGATGGAACACGTCCCCTCAATATTTAAAGATTACCTGTGTAACCCCAAAGAATGGCCAGTAAAGATTGAATTAATATCTTTAATAGATGAAAATACTTCAATTAAGGAGGTCATGTTGCAAATGCATTTGGCAATGATTAATCTGGGTCGTGTGTTCCCTGACATTGTTTGACATTTCAAAACTTCCCCAGCCTTTGCCAACATACAGACGTAGCAGAGAATGTTGTGACTCAGTGAAACACACGTAAAACACGTAGCCTTTTCTAAAAAAAGATGAAAGAAGATAGTAGAATATATTTGGAGAAAACAATGTTGTCATATGTTGTCATATGTTTAATATGTTTTTTTTTTGTACTATTTTCAATTAAATATAGGATTTAAATGTCAATATATGTATTACGTATTAAGGCTGGACGCATAAAAGTAGGCATATCTGGAGGGTTAACATGATTTGCACATCACTGCATTCAGACAGACAGACAGAGGAGTCCAAAATTCTGAGATTATTATTGACTACTCTATTTTGCATTGCTTTCTTATTTAACCTTTTTATTACAAATTATCAGCATAACCCTTTGAATGAAAAGCAGAACCTCTAAAAGTTTAACATTAATTTCACTCAGGCTCATATGGACACCTGTGCAAAAGCCTCTGGTAAGTAGATCAAATACACTCGAGAGTCGTCTGAACGTGAGTTTCAATGGAAGGGAAACCACCAAAAAAAAAAACAAAACTGATAACTGACTTTTATACCCTGACCTTAACAAGGTCAATGTCCCCTGCTTTGAAAGTTGACCTAGATTTAGTGCAGGATAGTGTCGTAGTTTTTTCAAATTTGTCAAACCTGTAACTGTTTCTGTTTATGTTCAGGTTTAAAGGTTTAAATGAAAATTATTCCAGACTCTCTCTCTCTCTCTCTCTCTCTCTCTCTCTCTCTCCATATATATATATATATATCTTTGCATACAACTGTACCTGCCCTCAGTTTCTCCTAAACATGCAATGCAGAAAAGAAACCATCACTGACAGAGACCCAGGCTGAGAGGGAACGTACCCCACGGCTAAGGACTCCTAAGTCCAGGCTACAAGACTTCCTGGGCTGGCCGCTAGGCTACGCTACACTGCAGCTATTAGGCCTCCCAGCAGAGAGGGACCTTCACCCACTGCTAAGGGCTCTTTCTGTACTGGGCCAGCCAACACAGCCGTACTAATAGGCTGCCTGGGCTGGCTTCCTGCGTGTTGGTACACCGTAGCTATGAGGCCTCCTGGCCTGAGATGAACCTTACTCCATAGCTAACGACTCTTTCTGGGCTAGCTGTGAGTCTGCGCTGTGGTCTTGGGAATTTTTTCCTGTATGTGTGCGTGTTGTGTTGTTGTTCTCCAAGACAGCCTTCTATACAAATAATCATAAACAAAGAGCAAAATAACTAACAATTAGAGAAGGGATTTCCATGTGCTGGATGTTATCACTATCACAATCCCTCATCACTCAGGCATACATGTGTGAAAGACTACCCAGAAATGATGACATAACAAACTAACTCCAAAACTGGTCACTAGTTGCCGAAAGTGGATTTGCCCAGCGGTGTTGTAATTGTTGAATGACGTCAGCTTTGAATTCACTTTGTTATGTTTCATGATGTTCGTCAGCCAGAGCTCTCAGTGATTCAGCATGGTCTGTTTATTCTTGATAACAGACCAAGATCTCAGTGTGTGCATATAGGCAGTCAGTTTAAACTGAGTCCCTAGTGTTGTCAAAGCTAGTTTTTCATTACAAATATATTCTTAAAATTTTAAACAATGCTAATAGTAATGATGTAGCCCAGCATCACCAACATATTCTGGAGTATAATAAATACATAGTCAAACATCAATTTGAAATATTAGTCAAATCTAAACATCTGCATAAAAAAAAACATAGAACTGCCTCTTGTACATATTAAGAAATTAAGTTGATATTAATTAAATTGATCAATTTTCATATTTTCATTTTGCTAAATTTCCTTTGGGATCAATAAAGTATCTATCTGTCTGTCTGTCTGTCTGTCTGTCTGTCTGTCTATCTATCTATCTATCTATCTATCTATCTATCTATCATGTACTTAAGGTATTAGCATTGAAAGAACATAATTGTCCCAGCCAGAGTCAATGAAGTCAAATAAAAGACAATGATTTTTTCCCAAGTGTAATGGAATTTCCATCTGGTATCACGAGACGCAAACTCAGATAAACAGGATATATTCTACATTACTCAGTTATTTTGACTTAAGGACATTTTTTGATGATTTCATGTATTCAAATGGGATCTTTCAGTTGAATCAACTTATTGATATTTAGTTTAGTCTGTTGTCATTAGCAGTGGAAGAGATTGGCAGAGGAGACAAGATTTTATTGGCTGCTGGCTTCATCTTTTTGCATTTTGGGCATGTCTTGTTGACCTTGTTTTGCTTACCATTTCTGTGTTGTCATTCTGCCCAGGCTATCCTACCTTAAGTACGCACTTACATTTTATATTTTAGTTAATAGCCTCATTCATGTTAGATGTAGTACTGTGGATCTGGGTGGACAGTAGAATGACTGCTTTCAAACAAACTCCGCTAAGTTGGATGACCAGTAGTAAAACGAGCCCAACTATCCTTAAGTTGACTCATTAACAGCAGACTATGTTTAGCCAATGTTGTATTATGTTGGATCAACAAAATGTACTTATTTTTGATGAAAGCCATTTAACTGTGTGGAAATCCTTTTAATAATTCAAGTTAGTGTGGATAAAAATTGATTTTCTGAGGGTGTCCAGTGTGGATATTTTTTGTTTTAAGCAAATATGTGCTGATACTTATATGATTGTGACGTCATTGTGTATCGCTATACAAAACATTTCATCACAGTGGAATATATCAGTGGTAATGGAATTCACTAAGAGTACAGAAGTTAGTTAAAAGGTTTCTGTGTTAAACATTGCTATGTAACGAGTGTTTGGCACATGCTTATATTTTATGTCTGTATTTCTGAATGTATTTTGTGAACAAAATGAAAAAGATTATGTTTTTGGACGAACAGCTGTTTCTGATGCTCTAAATCAAGCTAACCTGAATTTTAATCGGGTTTTAAAACCTTGTTGCTCATGTGCGAGTTGTTGCTGTTTTTTGTATTAAATAATAACAAATAATGGGAAAAACCCAAAACACACTTCATTTCCTTTCTATTTCAAATGAGTGTACAGTAATTTGATCAAACTGTGCATTTAAATGTACATTTCCCTAAAAGAGGATGTAATATTGCACATTGATTTGGATTTTAATTGCATATCATTGACAGAATCATATTTAGAGAATCTTCTACAGTTCATTTACTTTTGCCCTCTGATTCAAGTTCTCGTCATGAAATCAGGTGAGTCAGATTGTAGGGAAATCTCACCAATGTTTGTCTGTTCTTATCAGACATTTGTTTATTTTGATTTTGTGGGGCAACATGCCCAGACCTGACTATAAGAGCCACTCTCTTCTGCTGACCACTATAGGACTGAGAAAGTGCAGCCTTTTGTGTTCAGTGTATTCACCAAAAAGAAGCTAAAGCAGAGTGTTATATGTTTTTCAAACCAGGTCTTTCAGTATGAATAAGCTTTTGGTCTTTATAGCACTTACAGGACTCCTGTCTTCTGGTAAGTTCACTTGTATTGAACTTGTATACATGTGTGCTTGTATATAGTTGGGTTAATTGTATGTAATCTAAATGTAAGGAGTTTCTTTTGTAACTTTTTATACGTCTTGCCTTTTTATACTTGATTTTTTTCTTACTCAAGGAGTGGAGAGTTTTAGAATATCAGAGAAAGAGTATGAGAACATTGACCGAATGTTGCAGTTTGGAGTTCAAGTATTTCTGAACTGTTTGGACAAAGTCAAAGAGGCCACTGAGAAACTGGTGAAAGAGGACATGCTGAGAACAAACAGGTAACAATCAGCAGATAAACTACTAATGAGTAACAGACATTAGATAGAGTAAAATCAACACCTGTAAAATGACACCTTTCATTCATTTCTTCTACAGAATTGCAATCCAAGAAAACTGGAATTCCTTCAGAGAGACAGCCAACAGAATCAGTGTAGAGGAAAGTGGTAAAGGAGTGCAGGATGATTTACTTGTTGCAGCACGGTGAGTCCAACCTGTTATACATATGCTGGTTATTTGTAGTTATTACAGCTGTAAAACACCACTAACATGCCCATTTAGAAATTTAATTGCTTCATTATGTCTATTATACAAAGTATAGCATATTTCAGATCAGCACAAAAAACAAATGAAATAGTGTCTTTGGAATTACTGCTGTAGCCAAGTCAAGACCAAGGCCTGGACACATAAAGTCCGAGTCAAAACTGAGACTTTGTTGTAGTCGAGCCCAAGTTAAGACCAAGACCAGGAGTGATGAGGCCGAGACAAGACCAAGAGCAGAATCCGGTTTTTCTTTAGAATAAAACAATAAAAAGAACAAAAGCTGAATTTATTTGTAGTTCATTGTACATTAATTAACATTCATTATGCATGATACTGTAATGGTAGTCAAAGGACGAAGCCATGATTCTGTCCTCTTTTAATGAAAAACCAGCAGAAATAGGCACATTCATAATGCTGGACCCATGGGGAGGTCACCACCAGTTTGATGATGACCAACCCCTCCCCACACCCCCCCCACACCCCCCCAACACACACACACAAACACCCCTAAATAACCCAATCCCCAACACAGAATAACACATAAAACACATACCACACATCTCAAGCTAACAGAACAACACAAACAACAATAAACAGTACCTTTTTAACTGGTGCTCACACCCTGTGGCCAATACCAGAATATATATAAACTTAAAAATAATTTGTGTATTATTTATAATAATGAAAACTATATCATAATTATCAAATATATCATATATCAAATATAAATAATATTTTGTACATATAACATTATTCAGTCATAGTATAAATAATATTTTATATTTCTAAAATTTATTAATAATTATTATAGTTTTAGTACAATTTTGCATCATAACACTGAAGCAAATGATGGCGAGGTCATTCTCTGTCTCTTATGCAGAATCATCACCTAAAGTCAAGTGAATATAAGCCAAACAACACACATCTATTTTTACCATTAAATAAAAACATCAGGGTTTGAATTTCAGAACCACTGAACATTAACAAATAAATAACACCCAGGTATTAGATTAGATATCAGATCCTCAACCGGCAACAACATTTTGTTTAAACATGTAGAGAAAGGACTGTTTTATTCTGTTTGAAGGTATTGTTGTTATTCAGTAAGTTACCTCAGACAGAGGCATGGTCTTTAGAACAGTTTCCGAGGCTCACTTTAACACAAGACAAAGACAAGACTGACTTTAAATGATGTCGAGACCGAGACGCAACCAAGACCATTAATTTACGCTCTTGAGACCAATCCTGAGACAGGAGTAGTGCAAGACTATTTGTCACTTTATTAAACTGAGCACTCTGTTAAATTGATTCACTGTCCAAATGATTAGTCTACTGTTTTATAGTGAGGAGAATGGCGGCCAAGGCTTGTTCAGACATCTAACAGGCCAAGATCAAACTTAGGAAACCAAGTAAACAACCCTGCATTTCCCTGCCAGGTCACATATATGTTACTTGTCACTGTATATTCCATTCGATAAATCATGAAATGTGAATATCTTTTCTGTTGTGGCATATTTTACTTTTAAAAAAGAATGAGTCTCTACAGTCTATTGAGATTTTGTTTTAATTTCTACACCACAGCGAATAAGCACTCCACTAAAATAACCACACTCACCAACCTCGCCTTCACATAGTCACCATTGCTCTTTCCAACATGATTTCACGGCGAATGTATAGGAGGGTTAATGTTAACCTGTGTGTGTGCACTGACTAAGCCAGCAAGACAGCCTTGTCCATAAACCACCATAAACTCACAAACAAAAATAAAAAAATAGGGCTAAAAACAAGAATGTAAACTCTTACCATTCTGAAACGTTCTGCTGCATCCTGATCAGTGGTTGGGCCTCCACAGGAGTCTCTCTGTGTTCTCAGAACGCTGTGGCCCACTGCAGCCATTTTTGAGCTACACATCAGCACAAATGACGACCCCACCCCTGACCCTGCACCTTCTCTGCCCAGTCACACCCCTTATAGAACTTTATAGAAATCATTGATCTGTAATCCACTGTGTAAGGGAAAATAGGATAAGGTGTAGTTCAAATCTGAATTGTTTACATAATTGATCTTTTATTCTGTATCTCACAGCACGGTTCGAAGGCTGGTCCTGCACTATAAGGATGATATAAAGAAAACGTTCCACTCACTGGCGACGGAGCAGAATGTTCGGCTGTATCTACCGTAAGCTCTGAATTCAATCCGTTTCTCACATATCTGCTATTGTGAACATTACTAAACTCACTATTTAACTGTCAGGTAATCATTAACTATCTGTGAAAGATCACTTTGGAGTGCACTTTGACATTATATAGAAAAGGATAACCCACTTCCAAATAAGGAGGACAGTATATCTTATGCTAATAAGAGCAGAAAGCAGTGATTAGTGAATTCTGTTTGACCTGCATTAAATTGAAAAGGATACAGAAACATATTTAATGTTTTACCTTATAAACTTCATTGATTTTGCACTCATTCTAAATTTGTTGCCTGCAACACATTCCACAAAAGTTTATCAGTGTGATACATCACCTTTCCTATTTAACAGCCACTAATAATTGTTTGGCCAGTGAAGCAGTTTTTAAAGTGTATTTTTTGTCATTCTTCTGCTATACAAGTCTTCAGCTGTGCAATCATACAGGACCTTTGTTATCGTATTTTGAGTGTAGTAAGACACATGTTTTCAGTGGGAAACAGTTCTGAACTGCAGGCAGGGCAGTCTAGCACCTACATTCTCTGGTTACTCACCAAAGTGGCTTGGTGTCGTCATGTTGAAATAAGCATCAACGTCCCTGAAAAAGACATTGCGTAGAAGACAGCACACATGACTCCAAAATGTGTTCGGCACTAATAGTGCCTTTACAGATGGGCAGGTTTCCCAGTAATACCCCCCATACCACGACAGACCCTGGATTTTGAACTTTATGCCGGTAACAACCTGGATGGTCCTTTTGTTCTGTGGCCCAGAGAACATGATATCCATTATATCTTTAAACAATCAGAAAGGTTGTGTTGTTAGATCACCATACACATTTCCATTGTGTATCAGTCCATTTCACATGTTCAAATTTCTGGATGTTGTAGACTTATGGCTTCCACTATGCATAGTATACATAGTAATTTTCACTTGCGTTTGTGGATGCAGCTGCAAGCTGTGTTTACTGACAACAGTTTGTGAAAATACCTCTGAGGCCATGTGATGATATCCATCACAAAGGCATACCAGTTGTAAATGCAGTGCCGTTTAAGGGCTTGAAGATCACAGGCATTAATTTGTGTTTTTTTGGCTATGAAACGTTATTTTTAAACTGTTGAATTTTTGCTGATGCATTTTTGGCAAAGTGGTGAGCCTCCACCCATTTCCTCCTCAGAAAGAACTATGCCTTTTGTGAATACTCCTTTTATATCCAAGCATTTTTGCATCACCTGTTTAAGATGTTTTTTGAACGTTTCACAATGCTGCTGGTGTTAAATTGCCCCAGTGCCAATTTTTTGGCACATGAGGCATCAGTTTCAGAATGAGCTCATATTTATAAGAAACAATGAAGCTGATAAGACAAAACATCACATACCTTGTGTCTTTGTACTGTTTTGTTCAAATACAGTGCTTTCCGTTTTTATTTGCATTAACTTACTGTCCCAGTTTTTTTTGGAATTTATTTAGAGAGAAAAACTGTATTCTTGGTTAAATTTATTATTGAATTATACATTTATACATTGCCATCCCTACACAGTCTCATGCAAAGGTTTGGGCACTCCTGGTTAAATTACGTTTTATTGGTTTTCTAAGTGAAAACAAGTTAACACATCTTCTAAAGAGAACACATTTTTGCACATCATAATGCACAATTACAGTTTATTTGCTGAATTTGTATTTTGGAAAAAGTAAAACATAAAATGTGGCCTGTGTAAAAGCTAGGTCACATTTACATTATGTCACACTACAATGTTTTAATGGTCTACAGCAGGGGTATTTAATTAAAATTCAATAAGGTCCAGTTAGAGAAAATTTCCTCAAGCAAAGGTCTGGAACATCATAATGTCTACCTGCATCGTGCCATATACTGTTTACTGAAGCAGCCTAGTAGGTATATCAACATCTTATGTAGTCAACAACTGAATGTCAAATCAAATGAAGTACAATTGATCAGTCATTGATGTTTAGTTGAATGTAAGTTAAAGACAGACTGAGTAACTACAAAGCATCTACAGTGGACCATCCAAATAAAGCGTTAGCCGATGTGGAAACAAGCAGAGGTTTAGGAGCAAATGAAGAATCAGCTTCGATTGCTGTGTGCACAAATTTGTTTTCTAGTTTTATTCTTACTATCAGTATTATAGATGATATGGATAATGGTTTTGGTTAATTTACTGCAAATCACACATTTATTTCAGGTTTTTAACTATTATGCACATATTTACACGCGCTTCTGCCAGACATAAGTTTAATGTTACAGGTACATCAAAGATTAAAATGATTAGCATGCGCTCATTTTACGGTTAAATTTAACCGTACACAACTTTAATGAGTGAGGGTCAACATCACATCTGTGGAAATATCAACACTAGGAAATATTCAGAAAATATTCAGCCAATAAATAAATCAATAAATAGATGGATAAATAAGCAAGTAAACCAGGCTTGGTTTACTTTTTACCTGCACACCATTTCACATATAGACCAAGGATTTAGGTCAAGTGTACCGTATTTATAAACCAATGGGTCTTAATATAAATATACCTCTTTCTTGCATAATTCACGCTAACCATTCTGCTATTGAACATCTACAGAGTTGTAAACATGTTCAAAGGGACCATTGAAAGAGCCAAAGTCAAAGAAATCTGGGGGTAAGTATGCTTTTCTTAGTTAACGGTTTAAGGCCAAATGTTTTACAGTAGGTTTTGAATGTATTTGTAACATCACGTTCGTTTATTTTGTGTTTTACAGCACTTTAGTTGCAAACTACCTTCCTGATGCTCCGTCAATCGAAAGTGAACCACTGGCGTTTCTCTGTTACTTGCTGTCCACTAAGTAAGAATGTTCTGTCCTTAGTATATTGTTCTGTTCCAGGACACATGCTGTTTTGCTCTGGGACACATTATGTATTGCTATTTGTAATACAAATAGGAACACAATGGTAGAAAGTTAGAAACTTTAAGGAAAAAGGGATAAAAGCTAAGAATTAGGCAAGGAACACTCCTAAAAAAAGTGGTGCTGAATGTATGTACAGTACAGACAGTAAAAAAGGACTTTATATACAAACAGAAACTGAAGGCCAACCATGACATAGATGTGTATTAATTAAACATTGTGTTGCTGTGTTTTAAGCCCTTTAAATCCCAGGCTTATTACATACCAAGGCTTATTATTCAGTAACTACAGGGACTTCGGCTGAGCTATTCTTAGGTTATAGAAGTGTGTAGTAAAACCATTTAAAGGGTTAAATAGTAAGCACTATTTAAAAAAGAGAGGAAGGGCAAGAAAGGGCTCTTTGAGGTCCCTAAGGAATCATGTTTGTGAATGAAATGTGTATGTAATTCCTTACAATAACAGGCCCCTATAAATAGCAATTTAATCATTATCTAATAGTGTCTAACAGCTACCATTTGGATTATTAAGCATTTCTGTAGCGACATAAAAATAATTAATGCACTGTAAATGCTTTTCCTTATTATTACCTTATTATTATTTTCCCTTAAGGTATTGATTTTGATGCTTATGAATGGTCCATTTTAAACTTTATCAGTGATTACAAACTTCCCTAAACTCTTCTATTGCAAAAACATGAGAAAATCAAATATTCCATGACATGGGCCCCTAGAATTATTTTGCTGATCAATTTTTTCATTATTCTTTGCATTATTATCAGCGTGCAGAGGGAATCACTGTATAAAAGTAATTTATACCAGTTTAGTGGTATTTCGTTATATGGAGTTTAGTGAAACTTTTTGTTTGTATTCAGTGTTTTAACTTAAAAAAAAGGAAGTAACCTGGTTGCCTTAAAATTTTGAGTTCATTGAACTTCTAATAGTAAGTTAGCGGAACAATATGTGATTTTATATTATTATTTGAAATTCAGTTTACTCAAAATTTAACACTGAATCATTATTTACAGTGTGGAGGTCAAATTGAGCCCAAGGATAAAAGATGCTAGTAAATGTGAGAATAACAGGAGGGTTAAAATAATGCATCTTTTCTCCCATGAGCTTTAGATTTGTAACAAAATGGGATGTTTTTGTGTTCCTCATCTGCTGTCACAAATAGAAACGGCAGTAGATTCAAAACTGACATTCTCTCCTTTTCTTTGCATTTAACAGCACTATGGAAACATTTATTGTGAATGCTCTGAAGTTTGGTGTGGATGCGATTTCACAACTGAAAAGCGTTGATTTTGATGAAATATCTGAATGGTAAGACATTCATATGTAGCATGTAACAGTTGTAATGTGAATAATAATATTTAATAATAATAATAATAATAATAATAATAATAATAATAATCATGTTTCCATTTACAGTAACACAGCAATTGCATTTCATGCTTGTTGTTTCAGTTGTATCAGTCTGGCGAGAGCCAAGCTCAGAACTGTATTGATGTTAGAGAATATCAGTGGAAATATAAGTGTAAATGTGTTTATAATGTCTGTTTACAATAATTCTGACAATAATATTATAACATGCTTTTTCTCTGTAAGCATTTCTGTCTCTGTGTGTTGTAGGGTGAGAAGCACCTCGTTGGAAATCCTCCGTAAGTTTTATGAAATCGAGCAAACTGAGCAAGAGATGGAAAGTGATAAGTTTCTTTTGACAGTTAGGTAAGCTCCTTTATCAAATGTGTCTGTCATTGTGACATGAATCCTTTCTCTCTGAAGGAACTGAAGAAATAAACTGTAGAAGGCTTTAGACTTTAGCCTTCTTAGACAGCACAGCTTATTACTGTATCATTACTGCATCCTTTTCTCTACACATTTTAACCCAGTGAACGACCAACACCACAAGCGCCTTAAGATGGTTTACTGTAAGATATGAGGATGTGACAGTTATTCAGCATGGCTGCTCAATTTCAAATTCAATGCTTTTTAGTATATAAGACCTCAGCATAGCAAAAATGACACTATTTCCACCACACAACGGTGCACAAAAATAAGATCAATGACCATTTTTTTCATAGATAATACAGCTACACAAGCTATGCTAGGCTGCAATGATTACTACAGTAAATTACTTCCTTTTTAAGTGTGTGCATAAGGTGACATTCTGGACTGTAGATTTTTGGCTTACTTTTTTTTCTTTCCCCCCTTAAAATCCCAGGCTTATTACATAGTAAGCCTTATTGTTCAGTAACTACAGGGACTTCAATGCAAAATGGTTGGGCTGTTCTTAGGTTATAGAAGTGTGTGACTTTGTCTGGTCATGTAAGGGGTTACTATGATCCAGTTTTATTGATCTCCCTGAAAGATCTATCTGTATATGTACACTATGTAGTTTGTCTGCACATTTCGTTACACCCTTTTTACCCTGTGTTTCAATGGTCAGGACACCCACAGAACCCTCACAAGACCACCACAGAGGAGGTATAATGCCTGCTCAGATTATACCTGCTCTGTGGTGGTCCTATGGGGGTCCTGACCACTGAAGAACAGGGTGAAAGGGGACTAACAAAGAACGCAGAAAATCGAGGCACTAAAGTCTGTAATTGCAAAGCTACAAAATAAACTTTTATGGTAAGTGGAGCTGATAAAATGGACAATCAGTGTAGAAACAAGGAGATGTACTTGTACATCTACACCTACCTTGTACTTGTATCCACTTACCATATTGGTCTTTGTTAGCCTCTTTTACCCTGTGTACATATGTATTCACTATTATGTGAAATTACTATTTTATGGTTATGTGCTGTTGCTGCTTCTTTGTTTTGCTTTTTAACACGCTATTTCTTCAGATTGATGGAAAATGTGTTCTATATAGAACCTTTTTGAAATAGTTTCTATATAGCACCAAGAATGGTTCTGCTATTGTTACACTGTCAAGCTTGTAACAATAGAATAATGCTTTTTGGTGCTTTATAGACCCTTTTCAAAAAGGTTCTACCGTATACAACACATTCTCCATCAATCTAAAGAACTATTTTACCATGCAAAGAACCGTTTAAGCATGCAAAAAAGAACCCTTGAAGAACCATCATGTTAGAGTGTATTTTTGACTGAACTAAGTTCAGAAAATTAAAAAAAAAAGGCATCAAGGCATGTAGTTTTCAAACATTATTAAATATCATAGCTAGTACTTATAGGCCAGTGTGTGCCCGGCAGGTCAGTTAAAGTGCTTATTGCAGTCTTTAAAGCTATATGCTGTAAATAGATGTTTGCAGATCAAAGCTGTCTGTTATTTCTCTCCTTGTGCTGACCAGTTCTTTGAAGTGATGAAGGTGTGTGTACTGAACAACAGACCAGTCAAGTGAAGATTATTGTTTCCTCCTGTCCATTCCACAGAGTTGCCTCCAGAGTGCTTGTTTTTTACTGGGACAGAGTTCTGAACGTTACAGACACTCCTGAATTGCGAAAACAGTTTGAAAGCATTTGGTGGTAAGTCATGCATTCAAATAACAATTCAAGGACAAACAGACTCAATTCCTTTGTTTGCCTTTTGTTACTCGTATGTTCTGCTGTCATGAAGCTGTCATCATGTGTTACTGCAGAAAGTCCTGCACAGTGTCCTAAACTAACACTCTGTATCGATGTGTGCTGGCGGTCAACATTACGTCATTACTGCAATAAATTAAAGCCACAGTAGATCATGTGGCTTTAAATTCACACAGAGAAAGGCAGCCAGTGTTTTAGATAAACAGACAAATGCTAATGGTAAGTTACCTTAGCTAACATTACTAGACTAGTCTTTTTTAGCTCGGATCTTTCAGCTTGAAAACAGCCAGTTTGTGAAGAGGTAGTTAACTGATTCCAAGCACGATACATGACGTTAAAAGTTTTATTTTAGTTTGAAAGTTTCAGATGTCAAAATATTGCAGAACTGCAGTCACTGAATAGTTCTATATAAATAAAACAATCTCAAAATATTTTTTCACTTTAATGATTGTATGAATTTTTAAATTTTGTATTTATTATTATTATTATTATTATTATTGTTGTTGTTGTTGTTGTTGTTGTTGTTGTTGCTGTTGTTGTTGTTGTTGATTGGATTTTTTGTATTATTGCTGAAATCTTTTAATTTATATTTATGCTTTTTAATGAAACGCTGATAAACAATTATTGTCATAGCAAGTCGCACAAAATGCTAATCCGGTGGACCTGGCAACCAGATTGTGGACCCTGAAACTGTTCATATATGTCAATGACGAGTGTTCTAGGACAGAAAAGAAAACCACTTTATGACCAAATTGAGGCAGAATTACTATGTTATAGTATACTATAATTTTGTGATGTCACAAACCTTGTTTGGCATAAAAAAGTGGGTGGGAATATTTAGTAAACAGGGATAATAACTCTTTAGCACCTGTAATAAGATGAAAGGGAGTAATCACTGCACTTCTGCACTTCTGTCTCATTGCATATTGCGTTTATTAAGGTTTATGTCTTTGACTATGCACTGTTTAACACATGACAACCTCATCTTATTTTTGGCTAACATGGTCGTAGTGGAGACACAGAGTTCATCACACACATTTTAGTTATTTTCAGCTTTGACAAAGATAATTGTTAAACCAAAATAATACTGTATTTTCACAGCCATGTGGAGGACCGGTATCTGATAGTACTCCATGACTTGCTGACACCATTGATGGAATGGGAAACAGTAAAGGAATTTTGGGAGTAAGTAATGTTTCAGAATTCTAATTGGCTTCCAAAGAGATCTTAGTAACGCTTGGTCACTTAATTAGTATCAGTTAGTTTGTTAGTGATTGTAAAGAATTCAATAATAGTTCTATATGCATTTCCATGCTACATATGCTACCATTTACATGATTAAATTTTACTTAGTGGCATGCAAATAATGGTAACATGTCATTTGAAGGCTGCCTTCACTGGGACTTCATAATACATGCTTATACGTTAAATTATATATTTATAAAGCAGTTTTTAATGTGAAAAATATGAATATTGTGTGCCATTAATTGCAAAACTACACAAGATGCTTTATGCAATAAAAGACATTGAGTGCGTATACATGCACTTAATAATCATAATCGCATTTCTGCAGTTATCCGACTATTCAAATGGTCATGTAAACACCATACTCTGATTTAGAAATCCAAAAAAGAGAGCTGGATTTTAGCTCAGCAATCAGATTTCTCAGTGCATGTAAACTCGTACTCCAATTTCTTTTGGATTTCTCAGTCTGCGCATGTGCGAGAACAGATGGCAGTACCGGAAATAAGCAAGCAGCGTTGCTAAGGTGATAGCAGCAATACAGTTTTGGAGTGGTGCCAAAACCAAACCAATATTCTTCATCTTCTAGATGATGTATGTTCATGTTTTCAGGTAAAGTGACTCGAAAACTGCTCGAAAATAAAACACAGCATGAAGTTTGAGTTTTACGTTATTTATGTCACGTCTTGTTCTGTGAGTTTATTGGCTGGTTGCAAAGCAGAAATCTGATTACTGCCTGACTCATGTAGACCCAGAGTTTCCCATTATCTGATTACTCAAGTACATGTAAATGCATTGATTGGATTACTGACAAAATCTGATTTTCTGCAGTTATCGGATTATTAAGTGCATGTAAATGCACTCGTTCTCTTGACTTACGAGGCCATAAACTGAGGTGACAAAAAATTGTTCCATTTATAACACCGTTACAGAGCGTAATTCCCAAGTAATGCAGCTTTTAAGGCAGAGACCAATTTAATTTTATTTTTTTCCCAATCTAGTTTTATTTATTTTTTTATTTCTTTTAAAGTGAAAATGAAATATTTATCATGAGTTTCGTTTTTTTTAAAAAAAAATGCTCTCCCACATTTTAATGTCACTACAGAAAGAGTTTTAGTCCTTAGGTGGAACTTATTTTAGCCACACCCCTGAATTAGGCTACTGACACAAAAACTTGTTTAATTACTTAAGTAATATGTTATTCAATGCTTATACATGTGTTACGAAGTCCTGATGAAGCTACTGAAAATTTTGATTAGTAGCTTGTAAATACTTCTTTAATTATTTGATACTCATTGTCAATAATTTGAAATATTACTGTATATGAAGCATTTACTTAGTAGCATACAAATTCACAATCACTGTAAATACATTGTAATTGTCTACATCTTGTTTTTGATGATTACTTAGTTAATTAATTAATTGCTACATTTTAATGTGAAATAACTAAACGGTTTATATTCATACTTGTCTGAACAACATTTGTACCTGTTTAATCACTAATTGGACCTCTATATATGATTTTTTAAAAATGTATTATCTATATATTTTTTGTAGGCTTCACTTTGATTTCGCTCGAGATTTTTACCTTATTGGCCTTGGAATAACGTCAAATGTCTTCTATTACGCTGGTCCAGAGAGGTGCTCAAGGACTGTCAGGTAAAAGACGGTTATGATTATTACCTGTTTCTGCCTCTAAACCTCTAGAAGTGAAATTAAAGAACCCTGTCCTACAGTACTCTGAATCTGGAGGAAACTGTACACATAGCACTAATTAAAAGCAGGTACTACAGTTATAGAGCAAAAACATCTTTAAAAAAATCAAATACAAATTTTTCATAGTATTTACGGTAAAATTCACTTAAAACAATGAGACAGCATTGTCTTCCCCCCAAAAAAAGAACGAAAATGTTTTATTTCCTTTGGTACGGTATTGGTGGCTGCTTTAAAGTGCCTTGAAAGAGCCTTTACAGCAAAGTTATAGGTAAGATTTTTGTTAACACTTCATTGTAGGTCAGGTAAACTAAAGCTACGTAATAATTTCTTAAGCTTCAAATGACAGCTGACATAAACATACATAAACATTTATCAAGGCCTCTTCCAAGAAGTGGCAGTTGTCATAAATGCGGCTTTTGTCAACTTCAGCATCAAGCTGACATAACACATCAAGAGACACTGGTTTTGCTGCCCTTAGGTTGTCCTAACACTTTCCGGGGTGAAATGACAGCACGTTATGACAGCTGACCTTGTAGTTCAGTGTAGTTTTGGTACGTCAAACACATTAATGGTGATTGTTACACACCCTGACAAGTGAGGCTGGTTGCAAAAGCTTTGATGCTTTGACACTGTGTAGTAAAACTGAAATGAAAATATTGTTGTTATATTGTGAAGGATATGATACTGATACTCTGATATGACAGAGTTCTGTATGTTTTCTCTGAGCATCATATTTATGGCTTTATAAGATTTTATGAAGGCCTATTGCAATGATATTACACTGTTCTGACAGAGTTGTGTATATTTCATCTGAGCCTTAAGTGAGTTTCATTTTGCTGTTCATAAGTTGTTATAAAGTCCTAAAAATAATGCCAAAACTCTGAAATGAGTTATGCATATTCTCTTTTATTTGACTCATAAGCAGTTTGTGCGGTTGTTTTTTGCTGAATGTTCTGCCACTCAAAGTGCTGCTTCATGGAGTCATGAAGTTTCTTAGCAGTGGTGCTATAAGAAATTGTTTTTTTGTATACAATATTCATTGAAAAACTGCTTTGATGGAGTTTTCATTTTCGTTCATCTTCAGAGATGAACTTGGGCTAGAAATATTATCAGGATTAAGAAAACAGTATAGTGTTTTAAGAATTGCATGTGAAATGGACACAAATAGAAGCAGGAGCCAAAGATGACACCTATGTTCGCCAGAAAGAAGAAACAGGAGCCAGAAAGTCTAATGGCAGAACCTAATGTCAGCAGAAACCTGCTACTTGATGCAGATGTTGTTTTGGAATTTGAAAATGAAGTTGGCAAAAATAAGCAAAAGACTGCTTATTGGAAGAAGCCTTTATAAATGTTTATGCAGCTTCATTAGCTTATGTAATTGTCATGTAGCCTTATAAACATGATCTACACTCTTAAAAATGGTTCTTCAGGGGCTCTTTAGTACATAAATGGTCCTATACAGAACCATGAACACTCCAAGAACGCTTTGCATGATTAAAGGGTTCTTTGCATCATGGTAGGGTTCTTCAGACTGATGGAGAACATGCTGTACATAGTTCTTTATACAACTTTTTTGAAAAAAGGTTCTATGTAGAACTCAAAAAGTTTCTTCTATTGTAAGAAGTTTGACCTTGTAACGATAGCAGAACCCTTAAGTGTGCATATGGAACCCTTTTCGAAAAGGTATTATATAGAACCATCTACAGCACATTCTCCATCAGTCTGATGAACCCTATCACGATGCAAAGGACCCTGTAATCATGCCAAGGGTTCTTGGAGTGTTCAAGGTTCTATGTAGAACCATTTTCTTTACTAAAGAACCCTTATAGAACCATCTTTTTTAAGAGTGTAAAGTTTTACCAGATATTTTTTTAAATATATACAATACTGTACAAAAGTCAGAGACTCCCCTTCATTTAATTAATTTCCAGTCAAAACGGCCATAAATTACAAGTTATTCTTTTTTTCAGCATCGGTAAGCATATCTTTAACAGGCAGTTACACAGAAGCCTCAACAACTGAACATAATATGAAATATTTCAGTATTTTGTGCGTGGATGTTTTGCCTTTATTACAGGTAAAAGCATGAAATGCTGTTTAACTGATGATAACAGTTAAAAGTAATAACCTAATAACCTAATAACAAGTACCAGCTTCAGTAGTCAGGACAACCGCGCTGGCCATCAAATTTATGTGGTAGCCAATGTCATCCCAAGCCTTACTATAAACATTTCTTTAACATTTGTATGATATACTTGTCTAACCATGTTTTTTCACTGTAATTGTTTCATAGTGTTGTGAGCAAGAGCGCTGTTCTCTTCATTTACCCCATTTTTAAAACGCTGTCTGAAGAGGGTGTGCTGTGTGCAATGGAAAAACTGTATTTAAAAGCTGTGAACACATCAACTGCCCTGATAGGCCATGAGGAGGTTCAGTATTTTAGGTAAGCACTCATCATACTAATACAGTAGAATATACTATTGAAGGCTACTAATACACATTTGTGATGTATGGTACATTTTTTCCAGCTGAATTTTTTATATAGATCCACTGAGTTTCAGTGGGAAACCATGACTAGTAGAGCTAGGCCTTCAATTTGAGCCATAAATATCAAAATGTGCTTTAAATATGAGGAAAAACCCAATAATGCTAACTTTAGCTAACGTTCTTGTAGGATTCTAGAAGTTTATTAGTGCACGCACTTCCCGACGAGACTGAAGTCATCCTTCTCCAATTTTACATTCCTCCTTAAATGATGCAGCCGTTACTTTCTGCTGCCTAAATGCTGCAGTGTAAATGCTGCAGTGTTTAAGGTGGGTCTGAAAATTCAAAAAAGGCAGTTCTAGATTAAACACAGACATCTGAAGTTTCTAAAAGACATTCCATGTTTTACTTGAAGCATTCATTTTATCTTGTAGCAGTTTCACAGTGACTCTTCCAGTAGTGAGCTGTGTTACAGAGCTGTCAACATTGTTTTCCATTCCTAACAACTCATTGATTAGACTGCCACTCCTATTCACAGTCAGTGATGTGATAAGGATTCCAGAAGGCCTAGAGTGATGCTTTTTCTTACGAAATTGGCCCCATCTAGTGAAAATCAAAATGTGATTGGTTGATTCCTTTGTCACTTCTTATTATGTTGATGTACAACCTAATGAATTATGATTTCCCTTCAGCTCTTGAAGTTCTATCCGTCTACATAGATATCACTGAGAAAAACAGCTCCTGATTGGCCAATGTTCCACTTAACAAAATTTAACCATTTTGTTTTTCAAAACTTAACAGTGAAACAAAAATAGTACAATAATACTTGCAGTTTAAATACAAGTACGAATTTATTGAATAAAAATGAACAGACACAGAAAATCACAGAAATCATTAGGCCTTTTCTGAAGGTTCCCCTCTGCTCCATTCATTTTTCATGTGTATTTTATATTTGGACACATTGTTTCTGTTTCTTGTTGACTTCACAGAGAGACAAGTTATAATAAATCGATGGAATTCATAAAAGAAATAAACAGACTCGTTAGAGAAGAGAGACAGAATCCACATTTCCTACTTCCCCAAGTGTGGTAAGCTAACATGTACTACATGCTAATTTTTTGTAGTTACTGTGAAATAAATGTTGCTTACAGTGTGTGCATGCTGATTACTTTTTTTCTACTCCTCAGGGCTATTGCACGAATGTCGTTTAACAAGTTTGGGGCATTGGCTGACAGAATCAACGCTGATATTGATGATCACACAATAAGAAGCCTGATAACGTAAGAGCTTTACTAAACACTACCACAGTAGAATTTCAGTTCTGACATGTCTATAAGTCGCTGACCTGTTCTAGCTGTTCTTCTTAAAGGGGAATTCCATTAGTTGTTAAAACTTTCAGCATAATCAAATCATTAAAGTGTAAAAGTAGTTTGGAGTGGTTTGACGTACGCTGCGCCATTCTAGAGAAACCACCTCATAGAACGCTGTTATGAATGGTTATTAATACTCTGCCTGATGTTTTACAAGAAGGTTTTGGCTTAAACCATATTTTTTTAACCCCATTCATGGCATAAAGGCACCTGCAGGGTGTAATAAGGAAAAATAGTAGCCCCCATATGTTTAAGATTTACCACCATTTCACTGGTTGTTTTGTATAGTAAATGAAATGGCTATATTTGCATCATAGACATAACAATCCCTGATTCCTATCAGCACCACTATAGAGTAATTAGAGGCAATACGTTTCTCTATAATGCACCATTTCACATCAAACCACTCTGAGGCTATGTTCACATTACCAGGTTGAAGTGGCACAAATCTGATTTTTTGCCCTAATGTGACTCAGATATGATGTTCTCAGGGCTGTGTGGACGCAAATCTGATCTTTTCAAATCCGACCTGAGCCACTTTCATATGTGGTTATAGAACGGATACGTATCGGATTAGTGCCCATGTGATCTTAATGTCAACGCTCAGATCAGAATTCATGTGCTTTTCTTCCACTGCGCATCTCACCTTTTTTCGCCTTCGTCTCGCTCTATTAATGTAGCTGGTTCATTCACATTAATGACAGATTTGAATCACTTACCTTAACGAGTGTGAACCATCCTGTCAAAAAAAAAATCGGATTTGAGCATTGAGGCTTGTAATGTGAATGCAGCCTCTTTGAACTGGTGGAATCCCCCTTTAATTGGTTTGCAGACACTTTCGTTGTTTCAGTATAACACAGCCTCGGGCCTAAGGTAACAGTCTCAGCATTCAGCCACCAAAAGCTACATCGATCAGAAATTTAATTGCATGTGAATTTAGCCAACACACTTGGCTCTAGGATTTAGATGCCCCTAAAGGCCTTCATTACCTGCATCAGGAGTGTTAGATTAGGGTTGGAGATAAACCCTACAGGGTGGTAGATCTCCAGGACCAGGACTGAGCACCCCTGCATTAGATGAACATGTCTCCATTATTTGTATCTACCAGGAATTGGGGTAATTTGAAAATCATCTGCGTTAAAAAACTACTGGCCAGTGGAGCGCTTACTCAAGATGAACTGGATGAAGCTGAAAGGTATGTGACGTGTAGGGTTACAAACAGTAAATGAATGTTTTATATGCAAGGTTTCATTCTGTAAATTCAAAACGAAAACATATAAAGTATAAAGGCATTTTCTTTAAGAAACTCTGAATCTTAATGTCTTATTTGAGTCTTTGCTTTGTAAACTGCTTGGTTCTCTGAGCTAAGATTGATACAACTTTTCCACTGTTGTAAGAGGTTGCCAATGGGAGTAACTACTTGTGACATTTTCTCTTGTAACTTGCGTTCCACTGCTTCTCTGATGTAAGGATGTGCACTTAGTGGGATGGTTTTCCAGATAGATTCTGGGATTGGGCCTAGTTCTGGACCACACAGCATGCTAAATGGAGATCCTCCATTGAAAAATGCAGTCCAGGACTAGGCCTAGTCCCTGTCCAGGAACCCAGCCCTTTGTGTTTATGTAATTACGCCTTTTTCTTGTTTTACAGAATGTTTGTGAACAAAATGTTTGGATTCCTCAGCAAATTCGATGACTTCACACAAGGAATGGATCAAAAGAGGGTTGAAGATATATTTAAGTAGGATATGTTTTTATTCTCTTGATGTGAGAATGTAAGAACAGTTTGAGCTGAAGTTTAATGCATTTACTACTGCCACCACAAATGACACATTTAAACCAATTAAATGTTTTATTTGCCAAAAGCTGCTGTATATATTTAGTTTATCTGACTAGCAGGTTCATAGAACTCTCTGTAAAACAGATACTTTTTAAGGACTGTTTAATGCATAAAAATAAAAATTCAAGACATTCATGAAAGAAATTCACTGTTAATCACTTTGTATTTGTTTCAGGGCTCTGGTCAAATTGGTGATGGTGGGACTTAACTTCATATATGCTCCACTGACTCAAGCTTTGGACACCGTAGTGATCTGATTGATCAGACACAGTGAAGCAATTATAATTTCATTATTATCAACTGTTATGTTATCTGCCATCAATATTTGTAGCACTTTATTAAATTAAAACAAAACTTTTTAAAATAGTCTCATCTTTTTCTTTGTCAAATTTGTTTTCATGAAACAATTCAAGAAAGAATACTTTAGGACAACAACTCCATTAGAGACAACACAAGCATGCATTTTTAATGCATTTTTCTACTAGTATTGGTATGTTGTTGGTTGCTGGGGTGGGAAACTGAAGGCCTTAGTCCTAAAGAAAACATGGACTGCGTTAAGCAAGCAGTCCTGATCTCAATCTGATTGAAACCCTTTGGAAGGACTTGAAATCTGCTATTGGTCAAAGAAATTCTGCAAACATTCAAGAGTTGAAATATATATATATATATATATATATATATATATATATATATATATATATATATATATATCAGGCATAAAATTATGACCAACCCCCTTTTACCCTGTTCTTCAGTGGTCAGGACCCCCATGGACCCTCACAGAGCAGGTAGTAATTGGGTGGTGGATCATTCTCAGCACTGCAGTAACACTGACGTGGTGGTGGTGTGTTGGTGTGTGTTGTGCTGGTACGAGTGGATCAGACACAGCAGTGCTGCTGGAGTTTTTAAACACTGTGTCCACTCATTGTCCACTCTATTTATATAATCTTTTTGACTTGTTTTGTGTTACAATCATTTTGATCATTTTGAAAGTGTAAAATTTTTTTAAATAAAATAAACATAATTAAGGTGTGGGGTCACTCAAAGCAAAAGGATTTTAGAATAAAGTCTAAGTCAGAAAATGTGTTTTGACTTTGAACCAGTTTGGTAGAATGATCCATTTACTCAGGCACAGCACTAAATAGATGCTAGGTGGTGCTGAAGCACCCTCTGGAAATCGCAAGCCAGTCCCCTGAACAGAATAGAAGTTGACTGAATAATACTGAGAATTTTAATATTATGTTTAGTTGTAGAGACCTCTGTGTAATTTGCCATCAGCTTTTTTCCTTATGCTGAAAAATGAATTATGTGTACTTTATTTACTGTATTGTATTGACTGTACACTATTTGTACTGTACTCTACTAAATAGTCTTTACACATCACGCTTCAGGCATAAATTCATGACACAAAGCTTTCCATATGTCTTAGAATTCCTTACATGCTCATTTACAAACTAACTGTTGAAGCTTTCCATTTATGTTATAATTCATTATAGCATCACTGTCAGTATCTGTCAAACTTCATGTGTATCAGAAAACCTTCAGAATTTGGTCAAGTCCCTAACATATTTTTAGTTAGATGTTAGAGTTTGTAATGTTTCTGGTTTGACTGGATGATTCTAAAAAATATATAATTAATATTTATTATTTTAATTCATAATCATGATGTGTGGTCAGACGTTTTGTGACTGATTATTTGAAACTGATTTATCACATTAGTTTATTATGAGCCCTGCTACCAAGAAAACACAGTTGTTCTGCATGGTCAGTCACATTTGCATATGAGACTTCAGGTCAGCAGAGGGTGCTGTGTATCAGCTTATCTGCACAGACCTACTTTAAATAACTTCCTGTGCCACCATGACAGTTGTGAATAAAATGTTTAATGCTGAACATTTACCGGCAAGAGAATTACACAAGACAAGATTATTGCCACAATAAAAACTGTACTAGTATATAACAATATAAAAAATGTTCAGTTGTGTACATAACACATAACACAGGGGTGCCCAAGTCTATTTCCAGTCATCCACTGCCCAGTATACCTGGTTCTAATATTTAGATACTTCTGAAGGCCTTGACTGACTGGATAACCTGTTAGACCAGAACTGAAATTAAACTCAGGGCAGTAGATCACCAGGACCAGACTTAGGCGCTCCTGTTGTAACTTGTAGTATATTGCTGGCACATAGTGGTTCTACAGGGATTATATTAACAGCAAATGCCAAGTAAGGAGTGAGGCGACCCTTGCTTTCAAACCATTTCCATCCTTCTTGCAGTACAAGTCCTGGGCTTTGTGTAGTAGTATATTTAACTGTTATTCAGAAAGTAAGAGTACACAGTAAAGAAACAGAACAGGGCAGAAGTTGGTTTAAAGTGTTTATAAGATTTGCACTAATGAAAATTTGCTTTTGTTCATCTGACGTATTATTTTAATCATATTTGTTTTAATAGAAGTATTTATTTGACTTGAATAAAACCAGTTAAACTGCTTGTTACTACTGCTTGATAGCTACATGAACCTGATGGACCTGGTACTAGACCCCAAAAAAAGACTGCTATTTTAAATCTGCAGTTAGTGAAGTTACATTGCATGCATGTTGCCTTTGGCAACAGTAAAATCACTTTTATCGCTTATTTATATCCAGCATGTAAATCAGATTTTTTTCATATCAAATAAATGCAATAATAGTTTTCAAAAATCATAGTATAATAGAAAATAAAAGATAAAACAGCAGCAATAACCACATTTTGTTTCAGCCTTAAAGGTTTAAGGAATTCTTTTTGTTATTTTTTTCACATTGTACTTTGTATGTGTATCTGTAAGTTCCTGTAGTTTCCTATATGCAGGTCTGGATCATCAAGTTGTTTGCCCCTGGCCACAAATATTTGGTGGGCCCCTACCTGGCTACCTTTTTTTGGGTGGTCAGTGATTTTGTTATGATATCGCAGCGAGTTAAATAAGGCACTATGGAGCACTGATGAGAGCAGTGATGGGATGAGAAAAATAAACTGACATTTAGGAAAGATGTGGACAGTGTCAGGATTATGATCGGCCATAACTCAAAATTACACTGTGTCCTAACAGCAAGCTGGCATTCAAATGTAGTATTGCATAGTGTCACAAGGCCTGCAGGATGTCTACAGGTGTAACATCAAGTGCACGTCTGGTCAAAACATAAACAAACCACAGACCTCTCAAAAGAGAGCTGCTTTACTGACGGAGCTCCAGCTGTGGTTGGGGGCATGTATTTAAAAGAGTTTGTAAGGGGTTACGCTTTATCCCCACATTTAACATCAGTAGTCTAAATAACACAGTTTAAATAGTATTATACCTGGTGTTTTACAGCTCGGTTATGATAACTTGTATCTACCTAGCTAACCAAACTAGTTATCTAACACAAAACAAACAGTATTCACCCCTAACATCTAGCGCTCTGGCTGTTTCTTTCCAAATTGTTTACTGGAAGGGTTGTTGAAATCCTATCTTTTCCCCTTCATGCAATATTTTCTTCTCATACATTTTAAGGTAGAATTGCAGAATGACGCCACGTGTCAAGAACAGAAAAAGGGTGTCCGTCAAAAACGGCGCTTCGCATCATACTGCACTCTGCTGCTCGCTGCTGGTGTAGACAGCTTTATTGATTAGAATGGAAGCGTTTTGGTTTTGTTGTTGTTGCTTGCTATTAGGACACAGTTAATTTTCCCACTGTTTTAGTAAAGTTCCCAACCACGAATCAAAACAGCTGTTTAGATTTTCTCATAATTGTGGCTTGGGCCCCTGGGCACGCACCCATAAAACCCATTGGATGATCCAAGCCTGTCTATAAGGTGATAATGTCATAGAAGGCATTTGACTTTAGTATGAGTTCTCAATAAAATCACCTTTGAGGGGACAGTTATACTGGAAAATGGAAACATGACGAAGCAGTGTTTGCAAGATAAAGTATATTTGGTCCTTATACTACAAATAATCAACAAAGCAATCATCAGACCTAATGAGAAGATGACCGCCAACAAGATGACTGCAGATACCATTATGGATCTACCATCATCTTTAACAGCCGCCAACGTACATTTTAAGTTTCAAGGCTTGCTACAAATGTAAAAATATCCAGATTTGGAAGAAAGACTAAATTGTTTTGGAGGTTTGTGTTTCTTACACCATATTGTGCGTCTTTTGTGATGACCTTAGATAAAACTGTCTCATATTAAGTCAGAGTAACTGCTTAAAGTTGAAGACATAACAAATAGCAGCCGCAATTGCCATCATAATACTACACCCTACAATGCTATCATGACATTTTTCCCTAAGCAGTTGCACTCCAAATCACACTTCCAAAGAAGTTTAATGACATCATAGGTATGAACATCCAATGACTCTTTTAAATTTGCCCTCAGATGCATGGCAGAGTTTCAAGACTATACGAAAAAATATGTGCCTCTAAATGCTTTTTTTTTCTGTTACATTTTATAACAATGCTAGTACAGGTGCCACCACCTAAAAATGTAAGCCAATATACTTGTTTATAGTCTCCATTGTATCAGTATTGCTACTGTTATTACTTCTCATATACACTACATGGCCAAAATATATGGTCACACTGCTAATTAGTGGGTTTGCCTATTTCAGCCGCATCTATTATTAACAGGTGCATAAAACCAAACATGTAGCCATGCAGTCTAGATAGACAAACACTGGCAGTAGGATCACTTATACTGAAATGCTCAGTGACAATGTGGTGCTTTCACCTGTCCAACAAGTCAACCATTAGAACACTAAAGCAATCCCAGTCAGCTGTAAGTGTTGTTATTGTGAACTGCTTATTGGGAGCTTAATGAGTTCATGGCTGAGAAACTGCATAAAACTCTAAGATCATATACACCATATCAAGCATCTGCCAGGAAATTCTGGGTAATGCCAGGAGAACATGACCTGTCCAAATACATAATGCCAACAGTAAAGTCTGATGGAGGAGGGATAATGGTCTGGGCTATTCTTCATGATTTGAGCAGAGCCCCTTAGTTGTTCCAGGGCAGAAAATCTTGATGCTACAGCATGCTATGACATTCTAGAGAACTGTGCGATTTGGGGGCAATAGTTTGGGAAAGGAATAACATTGCCTTTCAGCATGACAATGGCCCCATGCATAAAGTAAGGTCCATAAAGAAATGGTTTGTAAAGTTTGGTATGGAAAAACTTAACTGGTCTGTGCAGAGCCCTGACCTCAACCCCACTATACACCTTTAGGAGTCGGAACTCCAACTACAAAATAATTTGGTATCATAATGAAGATGTAAGACATGCGTGTCATCTGAATTATCTTTCATGAATGTCATTATTGTTGTAATAGTTTCCCTACTTTG